TAATAAACTATAGTAATAATATAAAATAATAATATAATAGTATAAGTATTATGGGGAAAACAAGCTTTTCCAAAATGATTACTAAACAATTATTGTTATAAGGGTAGATCTGGGAATCTGAGTCCCAGGGGCACTAACTGTAGTTTGCCATGTTCTTGTGACAGGAAAATGTATTGAGCCAGAGACACATGGTTAGAAATAGAATCAGAGGCAGTTTTTTACAAAAGGTAAAGCATTCCCTAGAATGCCAGCCAGCAGTGAGCAGAGTTGGAAAAGCTCTAAATCTCTGGGCCAGGAGTGAGGCCCTTAGGTCACTTCCATTGCTCCAGCATCTCTCACCCTGGTGGGCAAGAGCCCTAGCTTTCAGTCTTACTCTGCTAGCTGGATTTTTCCATATGTTAATCTCAATGGAGCATTATTATTATTATTATTATTATTATTATTGTTGTTGTTGTTATTCAATTTTCTATTTTCTTGCCAGTTAGTCTAAAGGAACAATCATGCAATCCCCACTTTTTCTCTCAGTTTTAGAGATCGGGTTTTGAGGTTTTCCTTTTCCTTGTCTGATATAGCCAGATTCTGGGGTTTATTTTAACCCTTTCTAGCTTTGCTTTCTACCTCACCTTAAAGAAAATGGCCATTTTATTTGTGCCAAAGATTTCGTGCCATCTTACATCCAGAGATGAAATTGTGTGAATTAAAAGGAGCAATCCAGATGGTTGCTGGCCTTCAGATGGTGGGAACAGCGGAATGGCAGGAACAGAAAGTGAGAGCTCTTAGGACTAGCAGCACAACATTTCTTTGGAACAACCAATCCATCTTTTATTCCTGAGTAGATTTATATTTAGAGTAACTAACTGCTTTACCCATCTGTATCCCTACTGATAGAAATAAAAATCGCACTAAATGGAAGAAAGCAAGTTGTATAACCATATGCTGAGCATTATGCCACCAAGGAAAATTGATAGTGACCACAGTGATACCTATCTATACACACATAACATACTAAAGATAGATGTGTCAGACTTATAATAGACTAGTCTCAGGGCAGTGAGTGAGATTAAAGAACAAAGTCAACTGTGGGGGAACGTAAAAGATGTACGTGTTCAGAGAACTGAGCAGTGTTAAGGTAGTTAGCATTTGCAATTGCTATTTATGACAATTTTTGTATTGTTTTTGTCCTTTGTATTTGTGAATTTTACTGTGATATTTGAAAGATGTAAAAGAACTAGAGTTAGAGATCCCCATTCCCCAACAGAAGTTCTACTTTCCACAGCTCTGGGTAAAGTGTAGTCTGAAAATGGTGATATTTGTCTGGACTTACTCAAAAGAGAAAGACCACACTCACACGACTTTTAGCTACATTATATTGTAATTGTTTTGTTGTTGTTAGCTTTTCATTTCTTTGGTTTTTATGGGTTTTGTAAGTTTGTTTTGTTTTTGAGGTAGAGCTTCCCAGCCCAGGCTGACTTGAAACTTGGTATGTCTCCCACAGGCTTTGATCCTGTGATCCTCCTGCATCTGTCTCCAGAGTGCTGGGAACATAGGCATGAGCCACTATGCCTGGCAAGTTTTTAGTCTTTATTTATTTTTGCTGCTGGGGTTTGAACCCAGGGCCTTGTTCATGCTGGGTAAGGATTATGCCACTGAGCCAAATACACAGCCTGTTTTTAATCTCTTATTGTGCCTGGTTAAAATTAAGATTTATCTGAGCTTTACGTGTAGAGAAAAAAGCATAGCTTATATGGGATTTGGCGCTATCTATGGACAGACATCCTCTGGGGGTCTTATACATAGGTTAATAAGAGGAGAATACTGTATTTTAAAATTAAAGCGTATTCTGTCTTCCACTCCTAGAGAAAGAGAAAGAAAGTAAAAGAATAGATAGCCATTGAATTCTATGAAGACTTTTTAGGAGACGGAATGGCTTACCTAAAACCAATCTGGGATTCTTTCTGCAAAAACCATTAACAACTTGACACCATGGAACCTCCTATTTGCCTCAAAGCATGTAACATCCACATGTTACTTCGAAGAGTTGATAGCCTGGTCTTCCCTCACTTCAAATATTCAAATGTCTATCAGAGTTCACACTGACCAGAGATCCCTTGCAAACAAACAGATGAAAAACCCAGTTTCCAAATGGAGTTTTTTTGTTTGTTTTTAGTTTTTTTGTTTGTTTGTTTGGTTGGTTGGTTTTTTTTTTGGTCTTTGTGAGATAGGGTTTCCCTGTATTTCCAGCTGGCCTGGAACTTGCTGTGTAGACCAGGCTGGCCTTGAACTCACAGAGATCTATCTGCCCCTGCCTCCCAAGTGCTGGGACTGGAGATTTTTGGAAGGTGTGGTGGGGGACTTAGAATTTATTGAGCAAAGAGTAAATAGGGCTGGAATCAATGATATGCAGATAACTGTCTCATTACCAACTCTGCAGAGAGTCAATGTTCTAATTTGTGGCATTTGCTCTATTTTCCATGGTATAAATATTCACATTTGCAAACTTACTAACTTAACCTCATCTAATATGGAGTTTGAAAGAGTTACACAGCACCAGTTCTTAAGGGCAGGTATGATTTTAACAATACCAAATTAAATCCCTAGGAAAGGAGATGAGGTAGTTCCCAGGGGAGAAGTGGCCAGAAGTGAGTCCAGCTCTTTCAGACATTCACATGGATTTCTGAAGTCCTAACAGGTCAATATTTTTCTTGTTCTGCTAATAACAGCACTTTAAACATGCTTCTAACCCATTCCTATGTTATTTGAATAAATAATTAATAAATTGCCTTCCACTTATAAACCTTTGGATATATAAAAAAATGAACTTCAAGTAATTTTTCCAGCAGAAATGTCAGCATCTACTCTTACTTCATAAATATTTGAGCATCATAGTGATTTCATATACGTGTGACAGTCAAAATTATCTGGAACTCTCTGAAGGAACTTGCTCAATCTATCATCATGTCTCCAGGACCTAGCATGGTGCAGGACAGACAAGAGAAATGGAATCATATTTGTTTTGTTTGTTATTGGCTATTGAAGGACATCCTAAAGTGGTGGGTTTCATTGTTTGATTGTGTCTCCCTCTGAAGTTCTGTGTGTTGAAGTCTGGTCCCCAGAATGAAGCTGATTTGGTAAGTGGCAGTTCCTTTAGAAGGGGCCTGGCAGATGGTCAGTGATGAGTGTGATGTCATTCTGGGGGATCCTAGTTATTATGGGTGTGATGTCATTCTGGGGGATCCTAGTGAGAGGATTGTCATAGAAGAGGGAGTCTACTCCCCCTGCCTCGCTCCCCCTCCCCCTGGTTGGAGATGTGACTCTTGTGGTTGTGAACATTCACATGATCTGCCATTTTATGTTCTTTATCTCTTTAATCAGAACAAGAATTTGAGCTTAAGCCATTGGGTATAGTTAGTATTTTTCTGGGAAAGATTTTTGTATCTGAATCTGTAACAAAAATATAAGAACATAAAAGAGCATGCAGTTTGGGGGAAGCCCCAAAAAGAAATATTGATCCATCCTCTTCATGGATGATAGTGTATTTTTTAAAACATTTTCAAATTTTTCTACATTTATTTATTTACTCTTGTGTGTGTGTGTGTGTGTGTGTGTGTGTGTACCACAACATATGAAAGGAAGACAGCAGACAATTTACAGGAGTTGGTTCTCGCCTTCCACTAAGTGGTCCTGGAGATGAAACTCAGGTTGTCAACCTTGAGGGAATGGGCCCTTGCCTGCTGAGCCATCTTGCCAGACCTGATAATGTATTTCTTAATTGAAATATGATATATAGCTCCCCAAAGAGAAA